CTTGCAGTGGTCGGAAAGCGAGGGAGGCTCTGGCATGCAGCTGCTCATCAGCACTGGGGGACACGAAGTCCCGGTGTCCTGGAGAGGTGAGGAGCCACGGAGACACCATTGCTATTTGCTCCGCCCTGGTGACTCCCTGAGACCCAGCCCTAATCAATTTTCATCCCCATCCAAGCTGTGCCAGGGGCACAAAAAGACCCACCTGCGCTTTTGCAGCCTAGCCCAACAAATTGCAGACTTCAACTCCTCACACCCATGGGAGACACACTCAAGATGCAGACCCAGGAGCATAAGGTACAGACCTGTGCGTGCTGCCTCCCACAGAAACATCGAAACTACCAACTGTAGCCGTGCAGAACAGAACCTTCACAGGTGTACTGCTGGCCTGACAGGCTGCAGTTAGAAAGATGCGGGGGGGTGGGGGCGCTTCCTGGACAGGAGGACAAACAGCTATCATACGGAACCATGGGAAAGCTGGCCCAGTGGAAGCTCTACAACTGGAACGAAAGAAAGAAGAGCATTGAGACTGAGTAGGATGTGCAGAGGCACCAAGTACAGAGCCCAACCCAGCAGGCTGCAGATTTCGGCTCCTGGCATCCGGGAGGCACGCACTCAGGGGGCGGAGTCGGGTTCGGGGCAGGCCGGGGCCAGGCCTGGCTGGGCCGGCGATGTGGAACCACTGTACCAGCAGGCGCACAAGCACACCCACCAGTTCCAGTCATGCATGGGACGCTGGGGGACGGCAGACGGGCAGTCTGTGCACTTGGTGGAGGGCGAAGTCCGAGCAGGCGTGCTGGATGTTCAGCCACCAGGAATGCCTGGAGATTTTGTCTGGTGGGGAGCCGCCCAGCAGGGGACAGAGTGCCAAACTTCGTGTTTCCCCGGTGAGGCTGGGACACCCTGGTGAGGTCGGGACAGCCCCGGTGAGGCCGATACAGCCCCGGTGAGGTCGGGACGGCTCTAGTGAGGTCGGGATGGCCCTGGTGAGGCTGAAACGGCCCCAGTGAGGTCGGGGTGCCCCCGGAAAGGTTGAGACTGCCCCGGTGAGGTCGGGATGGCTCCGGTGAGGTCAGGATGGCTCCGGTGAGGTCAAGACTGCCCTGGTGAGGTCAGGACGGCCCCGGTGAGGTCAGGACGGCCCCGGTGCTGTTGGGACGGCCCCAGTGAGGTTGAGACAGCCCCGGTGAGGCCAAAACAGTCTGGGTGATGTCAGAATGGCCCCGGTGAGGTCGAGACGGCACTGGTGAGGTCAAGACGGCCCCGGTGAGGTCGGGATGGCTCCAGTGAGGTCGGGACGGCTCCAGTGATGTCGGGACAGCCCTGGTGAGGTTGGGACGACTCCGATGAGGTCGAGACAGCCCTGGTGAGGCCGAAATGGCCTCAGTGAGGTCGGGACGGCCCTGGTGAGGTTGAAACGGCCCCAGTGAGGCTGGGACGGCCCCGGTAAGGTCGGGATACCCCGGAAAGGTCGAGACAGCCCCGGTGAGGTCGAGACTGCCCCGGTGAGGTCGGGATGGCCCCGGTGAGGTCGGGATGGCCCCGGTGAGGTCGGGATACTGCGGAAAGGTCGAGACAGCCCCGGTGAGGTCGAGACTGCCCCGGTGAGGTCGGGATGGCCCCGGTGAGGTCAGGACGGCCCCGGTGAGGTTGAGACTGCCGTGGTGAGGTCGGGACAGCCCCGGTGAGGTCAAGACTGCCCTGGTGAGGTCGGGACAGCCCCGGTGAGGTCGGGACGGCTCTGGTGAGGTTGAAATGGCCCCAGTGAGGTCGGGACGGCCCTGGTGAAGTTGAAACAGCCCCGGTGAGGTTGAAACAGCCCCGGTAAGGTTGGGACAGCCCCGGTGAGGTTGAAACGACCCCGGTGAGGTTGAGATGGCACCGGTGAGGTCAAGACAGCCCCGATGAAGCCGAAAGGGCCCTGGTGAGGTCGAGACGGCCCCGGTGAGGTCGGAACAGCCCTGGTGAGGTTGGGACGACTCCGATGAGGTCAAGACAGCCCTGGTGAGGCCGAAATGGCTCCGGTGAGGTCAGGACAGCCCTAATGAGGTTGAAACGGCCCCGGTGAGGTCGGGATGACCCCAGTGAGGTTGAAACGGCCCCAGTGAGGTTGGAACAGCCCCGGTGAGGTAGGGATGACCCCAGTGAAGTCGGGACAGCCCTGGTGAGGTCGGGACAGCCTCAGGGAGGTCAAGATGGCCCTGGTGAGGTCGGGACAGCCCCGGTGAGATCAAGACGGCCCTGGTGAGGATGAAACAGCCCCGGTGAGGTTGGGACGGCTCCATTGAGGTTGGGACAGATAATGGGGACCAGTATAGACTGATGAACAGGGGTAGATGCAGAGGCAGAGCAGCATTGAACAGACTGTCAAACTACAGTGGGAAGCCTAGGGAGGGTTTGGGGGGTGGTTAAGAGATCAACCGAAGGACTTATATGCATGCATATAAGAATAACCAATGGACACAAGACACTAGGGGGTAGGGGAGGCCGGGGGAATGTCAAGGGGGCGGGGGGAAGGAGACATATGTAATACTCTTTGTAATACTTCAAGAAATAAAAATTATTAAAAAAAAAAAAAAAAAAAGAACTAGTGACATCACTGACCAGTCTGATACGCAACACAATTCACCACCTACAACCCATGTGAAGGCTGTTCTTGCCCACCCACCTTATCCCAGAAGAGTCAGTAACACCAGTACCTGCCCAGCTGATTCTTACGGAGTTTGCCAGGGGGAACACTTGGCCATATGACCTCCTGTCCAGGAAGCCCCCCCATCTTTCTAACTGCAGCCTGTCAGGCCAGCAGTACACCTGTGAAGGTTCTGTTCTGCACGGCTATCTGTCTACCAGGCCCACCTATCTAGGGCCCCAGATGCCAGGACCATACAAATGCTAAAGAATAAAGAAATATCCACCTCCTAAAGGACAGACACCCCCAATCCATCTGTAGAAAGGGGGGCCAGAAATCACCAACATTTATGGGATTCTTTGGCCCTAGAGAATGGACCAACCTGATTAAGAGCAACATAATGATTCAGAATGACCAGGGTCTATGCAAGGCCCGCAGTCCCAGATGCCTCGCTCCCAATTCACATAGAGCCTCCCATACATATGCCCTCTGTTGCCTGAATATTCCTGCTTCACACACACACACACACACACACACACACACACACACACAAGTGGGGTACTGGTGAATGCTGATCACTCTCAGGAGGATGCAGGAAAGCCTTCATTTGTGTTGAGTACCTGGTACAAATATTCCCAGCATGCCTAATTTCAAGCTACCCACCTGATGAACACAGAGCCCAGAGAGACATGCACCACCAACTATCCCAAGCTAGTATGAGCCAGTTCCAGCACACCCCATCCCCTGTCAAATGATTATGTGCGTACAATGCACTTACACCCTGCATAGGAACCTCCACTCCCACCCAGATATATAAACAAAAATTAATTTACATATATGAACACACATGTACATTTCTACCCTCACTCTCCTGGAATATACAGATAGGCCACCTCTTACTACCTATGTTGTTACAAACAAACCCCTAATCAGCCTGAATATTCACATTCTACACCTACAATTATATACACACACAACATGGGCCTGTATACAAACATGGGCAACCAACATACCACCTAGATATAGATATAGATATAGATATAGATATAGATATAGATATAGAGAGAGAGAGATAGAGATAGAGATAGAGATAGAGATAGAGATAGAGATAGATATAGAGATAGATAGATATAGATATAGATATGGATATGGATATGGATATGGATATGGATATTAATTCACCTAACACACTCTGAGAGGACACGTACAAGCAATACCAACAAATTCTGCAAGCATTACATTCTGGAACAGATACAAAGCGGACCCTAAGTCTCCTGATACACTCACGAATCCCAAATACACACAACCACAAACCACTCATGAATATACACCCCACACATTCAGATAGATACACGCAAAACACAAAAGCACTGTCAATCCCTTAACTCTCACTAATATGCATACACAATTCTCACACACCTATGGAAACACACGCTTGCAAATATTCTCAAGCCCTGATTATACAGACCCTCAAACTCTATGCACTATGCCACCTCTCCAGAATACAAGCTCATCACCTCGCCTCTTCAGTATGTAACAAAAGCACACTGTACACATTGTTTTCTCTGGCATCACTCTGAGCATACAGACCACGGCCTGCTAACTACTACCAAATACATGTAGAAACACTTCAGTATTCTCCCAAGAAATACACTTTATGTACAACTAAGAACCCCATACACCGTATGAACAAACTGATAATTCATGCACCTGATGATAGATATAAACACAGACCAGTATACCTGGGCAAGACACGTAGAAATATCTCCAGCAAACCACAAATGAAACAACTTCCAAATTCCAAATTACCCCTAGCTAATGAGTCAGCTCTCACATCCACAAATACTACAAATAACCGTATCACACACCTCCCATACATAGATACCATCCTCCAACCGCTGTATAAGCTCAGAAACCATCTCTCCCTCAAATACTCACACCCTCGGTTCCCAAAATATGTAAGCCTTAGGGCCCGACTGAAAAATGCAAACACGGAGCTCCAGCAAACATCCTTGCCCGGCCATGGCCCTGGAACACACAGTAAACTCCACACACACACTCTCCACAAGCCCCAAACAGACCCCCCAATACCCCGTGCCCTGCAAACATGCACACCTGTCTCCCCATACGTATGTCCCAAACACACTTCATGCCACATACACACCTGCACACACATAACCCCTCCCAAATTCCCCAGAATTCACTCTCCCATCTTGTGAGCACACAGCCACACCCCCCACACCAAACCGCACAGACACTCCTGTTCACCGGCATATACACCTCCACACCCTCCAAAAGCAGCCTCCACCTGCACGTTCAGACACAGGCATGGCCGCCCCGTGGCCAGACGCCCGCAGACACAACGAGTACCCACATGGCGCACACACCTCAGACCCGCCGCCAGTGCCCACGCCCCGATCCAGGCTGCCCGCACCCCGGCATTGGCAGCAGCCGCATCCCGGTCGGTCGGCAGATCGCCCGCATGGCGGGTGCGGGGAGGTGCCCGCTGGCCAAGGCCCTGAGGAGGGAGCCCTGGGACTGTGAGGAGTGGGGGCTCCGCCCCGTCCACTCATTTCAGGGACACGAGCAGCTTCTGCCGAACCGGAGGCGCTGTCAGATGCGGAAGAGCTGCCGGGAGCTGCGCTGTTCAGAAAGCGGGGGACACAGACCGACCCCGAGTTGGACGCTCACAGGCATCACTGGGCCGTGTAGGCCCCCATCACTGACCCCCAACGGCCAGTTGCTGTCAATTCCCGGTGAAAACACACAGAATATGTGAGGGTGGGGGTGTGAGCACAGACCCGGGGCACAGAGCCCACAGGGAGAACCACAGAGAAGAGGGGGCGCCTGAGGGGAGAGGAGGCCGCGCACCCCTTACCTCCCCGTTTGCCTAACGGACTCCGGAGGCCGCCATGCCAGGCCCCGCGTGCAGCCTGGGCGGCCGTTGGGGACCCGCCTGCCATTAGCGCATGCGCGCGCCTGTGGGAGCCAACCGCCCCAACGGATGCTGGGAGCAGTTGCGGGACAGAGTCCCGCCCCCAGTGGGCGTGCTCGTGCGTCCTGGCGCGAGGCACCCTGGGAAGGGCCCAGGCTGTCCCTGCAGGAGAGGAAGGAGTGGAGGGAGGGGTGTTGTGAGGCCTCCTGCAGGTCCTCCTCCCAGGAACCTCCCAGCGCGTGTGCAGGGAGCACTTGCGACTTTAAAGTTGCAAACGTGCAGGCCATGCACTTGGCTGCCCCTCGGGACAGAGTTTGGGAGAGGCCGGCCTGAAGCACTGTCCTCGGAGGGGCAAGTGCCTTCATGCCCTTGGACTGCAGGTCCGTGGTTTCTAGAGAGAGTAGGTCCTTCCTCCCAGAAATCCGGGCACTGCATTGCACAATTCCTGCCAAGAACTTTAGACCTGGACACACTCTAAGAGAGCTTGCCCCTGACCCCGTTCCTCTGTTTAAATTCATTACGTGTAATAAATATTGCTGCACAGATGTTTCCCTTGCAAGACTGTTGTTTTAACATTGATCAAGACATGACTGTCTGGGCCAAATTCCGTTGACATGGCAGGTAGCATGGGAACAATGTCAACCTACCCGCCCTCCTTTTTTGTATTATATTGCAGAATTTCAGTTGGCAATTGAATGTATATATAGTAGCAAAATCAACTTACTGACTTGAGTTTGTCATATTTTCCAAGGAAACTGAAATTATAGCATCATCTTTCTGGTCATTTGCAAGAGGGGAAAGAGGCAGGAGAAAGACTCCTCACTACATTTTCCATTTTGCACAATTTGTGAACTATGCAAAGGCATTACTTGTTTAAAACATTAAAATCACTCAAATGGTAAACAGGTAGACAGTGAACAACATAAAACTCTGAGAAACGAAAAGTAGTAATTTCTGGTCTTGCCCTGTAGGCTACAGGGCCTTGCCCGGATGGATGGGAGCCAAGGGGAGGTTTGTAAGGCTGGGCCAGCTGCATCTGCAGGGCTCCCAGAACTGGGTGGAACTTGGGGCCATGGGACTGCTTCCTGAGGAATGATGTGCACACAGCCACTGAGCATGCTCCCTCTGCTGGGTCAGTCCTAATTTCAAACACTGGGTTCCAGGTGGCCATAGTTCCCATTATTTCTTCAGGCTGCATGTTCTGAATTTTGTTCAGAAAGTGTAGTCTGTGTTGAAGTCAACCAAGACCAGATGGGAAGCAGATTGAGGACCCAGAACTAGGGGGATGGGTCAAGAACTGAAATAAAGGGCACATCAGGTGACTTTGGGTGCCTAGAACTTAGGAGAAGGTTATTACTGCTAGTGTGTCTTTAAATTTGTGAGTTTAAATTTGAAAGGAACTGCTGGTTCTCGCCTACCTATCAGAGCCCTCCATGGAATGCCCCCCCAAGCCCACCCCAGCCCATTGGTCCTCGGCCCCTCCCCCGCTGCAGAAGGTCTGGAGCCCTACATTCTACAGTTCAAATCCAAACCTTCCCTCCACTGGATGCTGAGCAGCTGTTGGAGCAGCTCACTCTCTGGATTCTCCACTTGACTTTTCTCATTGTGGAGGCTACTAGGCAGCAGTGGTCAGTGAATGAGCCTGCGGGGATGGCTTCAGTAGGAGGTAAGACTATAGATTGGAGGGGGATGTTTTAAACACTGAGCTGTCCCTCAAAACTTGGGGTTAAACTGTGACACTGGGGAAACACGGTTTGACTGAAGTAGGGGAGGGAGCGAGCACTGGACCTCCAAGGACCTGTCACCCAGGGAGGCTGGGAGCCCATGGGAACCTGTGAGGGCACTGGCAGGAGGGCTCCAAGAGGTGGGTCAGGGTGGCTCAGGGAAATGCCTGGGTGTGGAGAAAGGACGGCAGCAGGCACGTGGTTCTTCCCAGAGGGGAGACAAGCCACTGCCACGTGTGTGTGGGGAGGAGTGGGCGATGTCATGGGGGGGCACAGGGTGGTCACGAGAAAGACTAGTCCTGTGTGCTGTTCTTCGGGCACCTGGAGCTTGCCCCGCAGTATCTTTCTAAGGGACTTGACCTGAGTTCACTAGAGCTAGTGGGGGCTGTGGGAGGGTGTTAGCCAGAAAGCTGTCCAGTGAGGCTATCTGTGGCCAAGTCCACAATGAAATGTCCTCTCGAGGGCTGGGCTGGAAGGTCCTCCAACTGCTACAGCCCAGAGCTTCTCCCCTGCTTCCAGCTCAGAGCTCACTCCTCCTCAGCCCAGGGAGCTGCTTGTTGGCTTGGATTCCACAGGGGCAGGGCGGCCGGGTAACTTCAACCAAGAGAGGGCCCAGTTCCCTGAGCTGTCCCGAATCGTCGCCCCTGTGGCCACCCAGGTCTTCATATCAACTTCCTCTTGTAGAGCTTCTCATGGCGCACCCTCTGCCCTGCCCTTTACCTTTGAGATGAGGGGTTTGCTCAGAGTCCACGTTCCTGCTTCAGGGACAGAAAACAGATGTGGAGCCTGGGTGGTGTTTAGACAAATGTTTCCCACAGTCACCGGCTCACACCTGCTTCCTACTGGCCTTCACTTCCCACTGTTGGGAGCTGGAAGGGGAAGGACCTCACACAGTCTGCAGTCCCATGACCCATCTAACAGGACGGCAGCTATAGAAGTTTCTGGAAACCTCTACCGACAGCCCCACTTTGCCACATTCCGTGGCCCTTCTCTCACTCTCTGCAGCCATTGCTGGCTGTGAAGTGACAAGCTCCTGAGGGGCCATTAGTCTGAGCGCTGGGGCCGAGTGGCAGGACCTGGCCCGTGTTGAGTGTTCACTGTTGGTTCTGACACACATGTGCATGCTGGTCAGTGCGTTCAAGGGTCAGATCAGGGTCCCTGTGCCTTCTTGTGGGGAGACATTACTCAAGTGTTTTTGTGTTGTTGTGCAAGCCCAGGACAGAAAGGGGGTGATTTTACTGAGAAAAGGGAAGACTGAGGAGCAGATGGGGCCCTAATATTTTAGACACGGCCTGTTCTCAGAGGCCCTTTGGGTGCCTAGAGCTTACCTTGGAGAAGGTCACCGGAGTGGGTCTGCCTGGGTCATCGCCCCCAGAGCAGACTGCTGCCCAGGGCCAGGCCTGTGAGGCTGGCAGGGTCGGTGCCAGGGAATCCTTAGGGCGGCTCTCAGGGTCAGCGCTGGCTGGGGCCGTTTCTTCTCGCTGACAGTGGTCAGGGAGCCTTGGCGATGGGGAGCAAGCTCTCCAGTGGAGTAATTCCCAACTGGAGGTCAGAGCGTGACAATGACCTTAGGACATGTGCCACAGCCGCAGTTTGCCCATCCCAATGGCCCTCCCCTGGGAGACTCACTGCTCCGATTCCCCAGTGGCTACAGGGGGCCCAGAGCGCCTCAGTGCTGTTTGCTGGTTCTCCTCCTCCCTTCACCCTTTCCTTTGTCTCAACAGCATCTGCAGTGCTGGGAGCGGATGTGACCCTGAAGCCTGGTGCCTCCGTGACTCCTTTCACAGCACAGCCCTTTACCCCGCCCACTACTGGCCCCGCCCACCGGCCACCTGGGGAGCAGCACCTGCCGCCCCTCAGGACCCTGTCATTCCCTCCTGGACGCCCCCTGGTGCTGCCCACTTTGCCCAGGACACCTCTGGTGGCAGGAGATGCGGGTCAAGGCCCCGCTGGGCCTGGGGCTTGTAACATCATGGACCAGGTCAGGTCAGAAGGGGGACGACCACAGCCCTCCCAGACTCAGACCATTGTCCTGACTCAGGCCCCCCTCAACGGGAGTGCTCCAGGGGCAATCTGTGGGGGTGCTGTGTGTTCTGCACCCCTCTTCTTGGAAGCCACTGCGGTGGAGACGATTATGCCCACCTCGGCTTTTGCGGGCACCCAGGCCGGCAATGGAGGCTGGTGTCCCGGCCTTCCTCCTCACGGTCCACCACCAGCTGCCCAGCTGGCCCCCATCGTCCCCCGAGTGGACCCTGGACTACAGCCACACGGGGCTTCCAGGGAGGGTGGCCTGGCCGCCTTCCAGTCCAAGGCCTCGCTGGATGATGCCTGTAACCCCAAGAGTGTGTACGAGGACTTCCGTCGTTGGCAGTGCTTCAAGACCCTGGCCCGGGGGCACCTTCCCCAGAGTCCTGATGTGGGAGCTCTTTGCTGCTTCCTCATGTGAGTGCACTGGGCAGGGCAGGGGCTGCGCCTGGAGCTTTCAGTCCTGCCGGGTGGGGGTGGGAACCTGGCTCCGCTGAGCTGGGGTGGGCAGGCGGGTGGAGGACAGGCTGCAACCATGACTGACCCTGAGGCATTACAGGCCAGCGCTCCGGTCCCTGTCCCGCCTGAGGCCCACCATGACGCTGGAGGAGGGAATAGGGCAGGCCATGCAGGAATGGCAGCGCAAGAGCAACTTTGACCGGAGGGTCTATTCTGAGATGGCAGAAAAGTGAGTCAGGGTCCTTGGTCCCCACAGCTGGGGGTAGGGCTGACTGCGGGGCAGGGTCCAGATGTGAGGTCCCATCAGAGAGGAGGGTGGTGGGAGGGTGTCACTCAGCACGGGGTCCCCGCCGCCCAGAGGCCCTTCTCTCCTGGGGAAGCCTCTCCCTCAGCTTCAGAGTGTGGGTGCTTCTGTCCCACCTCCCGGGAGCTCCCCCCTCCTCTGACACTGACCCATCCTGGGCTGGACATGAAGGCTCAGGACAGGCTGGGGAGAAGGTGCCCTGCCCAGTGGGCAGGCTCCAGCCAGAGGGGCTGTGCAAGAATGTGCTCAGCCAGCCTCCTGCCTCCCCAGTGTCCGGGCCCTGACAGCCCCAAGGCACTGGCTCTCCCATCCCTCCACCCGCTGCTGTCTTTCTGGGCTCCCGGCGGCCTCCTTCTCAGCACAGCTGTGCCCCCCTACCCCCCAGGTTCATGGAGTTTGAGGCAGAGGAGCAGATGCGGTTTGAGAAGTTCCAGTGGAAGAAGGGGGCGCAGACCCAGCCCCCTCCTGCCCCACTGAGACCTGATCCTCGGGGGCCCCCAGCCCCAGTGGTGGGCAGGCAGCCAGGTAGGCCAGCACGTTCCCATGGGAGCCCATGGCCAAAGGCAACAGGGCCTAGGGCAGGCCACTGTCCCCACCCACATGGGCCCTTCTCCTTCAGGGGGGCTTTGTTCTTTCAAGGGAAACAGCCCTGATAGTCGGGCCTCTGACCCTTTGTCCCCATGGGGTCTGGACCTGGTGCACTTTCTCATCCCCTCTCCCTGCTCCTTGTCAAAGGCCCCACATGAAGTCTGCTGAGAAGCGGGCTGGCTGCGGGGCCCCTTGGAGATTCGGTGGCTCCACACGTCCTCACACATGACTCACTTGGGTGCTCCCCACTGGCCTCTCCCCTCACATAGTCACAGGCTTCAGGTGGCCCCGACCCAGCCACACCCATATTAATGCCCCAAACATTGCCCTCAGCATCGCATGCCCTGGAGGTGGGAGCTTTATCCCCTCACGCTCCCTCCTCTTCCCTCTCTGCCCAGCGCGCACTACCAGGAAGGCTGTACCCAGCGCCCAGTGCGCCCACACACCCCTTCTGCTCTGGGAGACCGAGTCCCGCAATGGGATGCCCCCTGAGGCCGAGCAAGAGGACATGGACATCATGGGTGAGCTGCCCGTGGGGGCGCCAGGTGGAGGACGGGAAGATGAAGAAAAGGAGTGGCTGCAGGACGAGGGTCTCCTGAGCTACCTGGACCAGCTGTGCTCCCAGGAAGACTTTGTCACCCAGGTGGGCTGGCTGGCAGCTCCGGGTCTATACGGTCCCAGAGGGAGGTGCTGCAGCACCCAGACCCGGGTTCTCCCAGGCTGATGGGATTGGGCTCTGCTCTTTGTTCCTGAGCTGGGCGTGTGAGAGTGTGTGTGTCTGTGTGTGTGCATGTGTGCGCTTTGTGTGGGTGTGGTGTGTGTGCTGTGTTCCTGTGGGTATGCCCCTGTGTGTGTATGTGCATGTATGTGTTTCTGTGTGTGTGTGCATGTGCATGTGTGTGTGTGTCTGTGTGTGTGCATGTGTGCGCTTTGTGTGGGTGTGGTGTGTGTGCTGTGTTCCTGTGGGTGTACCCCTGTATGTGTATGTGCATGTATGTGTTTCTCTCTCTCTCTGTGTATGTGCATGTATGTGTTTCTGTGTGTGTGCATGTATGTGTTTCTGTGTGTGTGTGTGCATGTATGTGTGTGTGTGTGTGCACCTGATGACCATGATGGAGTAAAACACCCCCCTGAGCAGGAGGACGGGTGGGTCTTGGCTTTCCCACTTGTGCTCCAGGCCCCGCTGACTCCCAGTTTGCTCCCTGCCAAGGGGCTCACAGCCGCTTCCTTCTGTCCCAGGTGGAGGCGGTCATTCACCCCCAATTCATGGAACAAATAATGTCCCCAGATGCACAGCAGGATCCCTTGGCCCTAGCTGAGGAGTTGGAGCAGGAGGAAGGGCTCACTGCTGCCCAGGTGAGCCAGGGGAGGGTGGACATTCGGGCGATGGGGGGGGGGGACCCCAAGTGAGCCATAGGACCCAGGGACCCCAGGTGAGTTAGAGGAGGGACAGACCCTAGTGAGTCAGGGAAGGAGGGAGGGTGGTAGATCAGGGGAGGGGGCCCTCAGGGAGCCAGGGGAGGGCGCACCCAGGTAAACCAGGGGAGGGAGCAACCCAGAACCAGGACACACATGCCTGTGTCCACGCCACCCCTGCCTGCAGGCACTGCATGCAGAGGGGCCAGCCCTGGGTGGGAGCAGGGCTACAGGGCTGCACAACAAGAAGGAGAGGGCTACAGAGAGGAGGGGTGGGAAGCCAGAAGGGGAGGGGCCACAAAGCTGGGAATATGGCACAGGGGACAGAGGAGAGACACATGACTGTCATGGATTCAAATTACGGTGTCACCTCCCCCTCTCCTCACCCCAGTGCCATTGTCCAGTCACCCACGCTCCCCCCCCTCCACACACACACACACACACACACACACACCACACACACACACGTGTGCAGCGCCAGTCACTGTCCCTTCTTCCTCCCAGCTGGTAGAGAAGCGACTCCTGGCCTCCAAGGAGGTGGACGTGCAGGCACCCCGAGTCATGGTGCTCCCCTGTGGGGCTCAAGTCCTTCTGAGTCTGCGACCAGCCAAGATGCCCAGAGGCGTGACCGTGGCCCCCAGCTGGGGGTCAGTGACCAAAGCCTGCCCACCAGAGACCGACTTCAAGGACCAGCAAAGGCGCGGCCCAGCGGGCGCCACCGGCCCAGGCCCCAGGCCTTTGCTGTCTCTGCGGGGCGTCAGGAGCACCCACCACTCCGGGCTCGATGCCCCCCCGCTGCT